ATCAATGTTATTGTTTTTATTCTTTTAAATTAAACTTAAATAATTTATTTTTCAATGTATAAAGTTAATGATAACAAATATCCTTACCTTTTTAGAATTTAGCATAAATAAAGTTAATTTTCCGGATAAGTTAGTGAATCGAAATTATTCCGGATAAACTTTCATAATGAACTTTTGAATTATTAGTTCCAGAAATGATTTGAACTTGTTTAAGCATGCAATATAGAAAATAACTTTATTATAAGTTATTGTAAATTTACTTCAGGCCAGTTTCTTTAGCCTATTACACAACAACTTGTTGGCTATTTTTTGACAAACTGTTTTTATAAAGCCATTAATTTCATAAATTTCGTTTATACTGAAAGTGTCGCATTGCTTCGTTTATACTGAAAGTGTCGCATTGCTTAAAAACACAGTTAAACTTTTCTTTTTTCCCTGTGTTACCTAAATTTAAATTTAAAATTTGCATCATTTTTATTTTAGTTACATTAATGGAGCTGCAGATATGTTGCATTGTTTGAGGGTTTAATGTCATCGAAAACTGTTCCGGAAATTCCATCTAAAAATATCGGTATTGAAAGTATTTATGGAACTATAAATTATCGAAAAAAGGTAGTGGATGGTAAAGCAACAAAATTTGCAACATTAACAAAGACAGTACGTTTACTTCCTCTCTTAATTGTGCAAAAGTTTTTCCGAAAAATGTGCTAGAAAGAAAATATAATTCTTTGTCTTTCCGTATCGATTGCTTTCAGGTTGACCTTATTTTCATTTCCTTTTTTTTCCCTTCCACTGACTTAAAATTAGATTGATTGAGTACCATTAGGGACTTTTTTATATTTAAGACGGATCGATTTGTTGAAGGAAATTGTTTTACAGTCAAAGTCATTACGAGAAGTGCACCGAATCTCGGAATAGTTTTGGTAATTTTGGTGCAAAGGTATTTTTAGTGGAAGTGCCAGGATAGGTAGTCCAAAAAAAGAAAAAGTAACTGGCAAAAGAGTGATTGTTTCAAAATTATTTGAGGTTCCAAAGTACTGACAAACTTTGAGAAGCTTTTTCATTTGATTTTTCACAAGACATTTGATACGTAAGAATCCACGTGTTGATCACACGTGGATTCTAAATATGAGAAGTTTAGTTTCATTTGAACACAAAAGCTATGTTAGTTACAGCGAAAACCGGCAAAACTTGAACGTCTTACAAGCAGTCGTAAACAAGAATGGCTAGAATCCGGAACAGAACATGGTTTTATCCGACTTTATGCGCCTACTGGATCACGATCTTTGATTTATCCAGTTACGCTTCAAACAACTGTCCAGGATATTTGTTCCATTTTGGGTTTTGAAAGCTTGTATCTTCAGATTGGTGGATCTAAAATCAGGCGAGCGTAAATTCATTTTCAGAAAAATTTCATGAAAAAAGTAGATTCAGCAGAAAGAAGAGATTTGCCTAAAAGTTTGTTTTGCACAAAATTACAAACAACAACTTTCATCATTTCCGTCTCCAATTGTTATTTCTCCTGTTTTGTCTCAACATTTTATGCTAAGAATTACTGATGTCATTACAGCACTTTTTCTGCCTCTATTGTAGGCCTATTACCTTTTAATTATTTTTTTTTTACTAGTAATTTGGCAGTAGGAGAATATCCGTTGCAATTGCAAAATCAAATTCTATTAAATATTGGATATGAAACACAAGCGGAATGTATGGCTGTTGGCGATGCTGCACATTTAACTCATCTTTTTTGTTTTTTAATAGGTAAGTTTATTATTATTATTATTATTATTATTATTATTATTATTATTATTATTATTATTATTATTATTATTATTATTATTATTATTATTATTATTATTATTATTATTATTATTATTATTA